GTCGCCGGTTCTCGGTACAGAGCCCGCCCTCCCCTTGGTGCCCGGCCTTGTCTTCTGGGGCCCGACCCTTCCTCCATCACCCTTCTCCGTGCTGCGCCTCGAGCCGGGGCTTCGCCTGGGCAAGGCTGAGGGGAACTTGGAGTGGCAGTTTATTTGTAAATAGCGACTGTGCAAGGCTGAGGGGAACTTGGAGTGGCAGTTTATTTGTAAATAGCGACTGTGCAAGGCTATGGGGAACTTGGAGTGGCAGTTTATTTGTAAATAGCGACTGTGCTGCTGGGGCTCCTCTTGGTCGGGAGCAGCTCAGCGTGTCTGGCAAAGAGATGCGGTTTCTTCATTTTAAAGCCTGGTAAAAAACATCGTAATAAATAGGGAAAAAAAAGTGCGATGTAATAACCCACGTTAATACAACAGGAGGAGTAAATCACAGAGTAACAGTAAATTAAAACGTGGAATCTTTAGCACTCGTGAGAATTGAGAATGGGGGCAAACTGCTTTCTTCTCATGTTTAACCCAAGGTGGTTTTTCTGCTTCATTCTTTAGTTAGAAGACTACGAGTTCTAATTGTCCTCATAGTTGGAATTTTTCTTTCATGTTTACGAGTGCACAGGGGAGGAGTTACATCTTCCAAAAAAAAAAAAAAAAGGAAGTGTAGAATTGAATGTAAATGTATTATGTGGAAATGTTACTTGTCTTCCCTTCAGCCTGTTCAAGGAAGTGATTTTTTTAAAAGAGACTTTACATTGTATTAAATAAAAAAAAATACCATGCTGCCTGTCTAATCAGATCCACATGGGAAATGTGCTTAGCTACAACAGCAACAAATATGACATAAGTAATGCTACTACGCTGTTCTCCCTTGTCAGTTTAGAGGGTGAAGAAACAGGTTTTCTTCTACAAACCCTATAGATTTTGTAGATGTGATATGTTTTTGCCGTAGAATTTAATTCTTGTCAAAGTTGTCTAAATTGCTTTTTTTTTTTTTGTGGTTGTGGAGTTCAGTTTATTGGCAGCGCCATTAGCACATTCTTGAGGCAGCTGTTTGTTGTAAGCAAAACTTCATTAAAATCAATATTTCCTTTGTATATTGCTGTATTTCTACTGGTGAGCAATACTGCATCTCATCTTTATTCAGAAAAATATCATTAGAGCTCACATTGCAGGTGAGCTTTGGGAGCTAAAACAAATTGTAAAAATGTTTTTTGTATTCTAAATTCATTTTGCAATTTAATATTTAAAATTCATCTTAGCATTTTATTTCATTGTAGGTAATTTAAGTGATTTTCTAGCATGGACACTGTTGCTAGCCATAGTTGTCATCTTCTCCAGCAGCTACATGAACAGCGCATTCAGGGTCTTCTCTGTGACTGCATGCTGGTGGTAAAAGGTGTCTGCTTCAAAGCACACAAAAATGTATTAGCAGCTTTCAGTCAATATTTCAGGTATGTGATAGAAAATTCTTCTTTTAATAAAGTGAACTGAATACTGTTGGTTGAGGTTTTCTCTGAGAAGGGTATTTTTTTCCTGGTAGTTGCAGACTAAGTAACTGTTGGAGTATAAGGGGAAAAGTTAAATTGTTTGTCCAGAGATAAATCTGTGTCAAGTATTTAATCTAATTAAAAACTGTGGCAATCCTGATTTATTTTCTAGATATACGTATTTAACTACTACACTGTGTGTGTTTGGCATTTTCTTGATCCTTACTTGCTTACAGTGCCTCATATAACGGATTCTGGCATGAACCTGCATTCAGTGTTTCAGTATGAAAAGATAACTGTTTGCAAGGAGCATAGCACAATACAAAACCAGAGCCAGATAAAAATGAAATTTGAGTATTTAGGTTATTATTGGATCTCTATTTAGAACAGATTCTAAGAGAGGCAACATCTGTGTTTTAAAGTATGCAGGTGGCCCATGAAGCCACATCACTGGTATCTTTCTCCTCTGTAGAGCCCTCATTGATCCTCCAAATTTTGGGGGATGCTGGATCTTCCAACTTAGTTTTTTATGTTAGTTAGGAGTAAGCTGTTAGATCTGGCAGTTTTTAGGTCTCGGTTCTTGAAACATCTCTAAAGCTTGACTACCAATTCTTATGTAAGAAAATTTTTTTTAATGTTATGACTAGCAAAAACAGATGAAAGGTTCTTTTTCCTTTTTCTCTTCTAGTGGTGGAATCGCAATGATGAAGTGAAATTATGCTCAAAGACTGCATTTTTAAAGTTTAAAGAACTGAACTAAGTGCTCAATTCTTTTCAATAGGATATACGTGACTAATTTAGACTCTCAACTCAGATCTGTTCATTATAGTTCTGGTTTTAATTTAGATAGTATGGGCTGGATTTGTGAAAGAATTTGAATGTGGGCACCGACTTCAGAGTAGCATGGACGTGTGAGGATAGGACAACTTAAGTATGGGGATGCATCTAGAACTCTGCATTTCTAAAGTTTAAGCCTAGACTCTCATTTGCTTAAGATTCAGAGCTCATTGATATTTTGCCCACCTTTAAACAAAACCTAATTTGAGAATTAACCCCCAGAGAGGAATCATCAAGTTCAGGACATTTCCTAGTGTAAGAAAATAGCTACATAGGAGTGACCTGACCTTGCTTATACATCGTGGTTTACTGTGAGAGTATCAGCTTAGAGACTAGGGTTTGAATGGAAAGGTGTGAAGTTCCTGACTGAGGCAGAGCATGAACCCACTTGATCTAGGACTGGTTACGCATGTGAAGAGCTACAGCTCTAATGCTAAGAATACTTTACATCAAATAGTAAGAAGTCTTGTGAATTCAGACACTGTAAGGATTCAATGACAACTCTGTGGGTATTGGTTGGACTGCTGTTTTAGCTCATCTACCTGCACTCTTCGTTATTCTTTTACTTGGTTCTCATTCAGTACCAGTACAAAAAATACCTTTTTTTGGATATAAGAGAATAGATTGAAAATAATGCCGTCCTCTTGTTTGCTATTACAATCCGCTCATCTACTTGCGGAGAAAGAAATAATGAGAACTTTAATAAGTTTCATGGACAAGCTCAGTTGCCAGAGGAGAACAATTTAGCTGACTTTGAGGTCTATCTTCTCCTTTTTACCAGAAAATTTCTCATGTCCTGTTTTATTTGCTATGATGGAAGGAGAAACACCATTCTGAGTGAACCAACTTTTGCAAATAGTCCATAAATACACCACTGCGCCTGATACGTAAAAACATTTGATAGGAAACTACAAGTAAAGGGTGTGATTAAAAAACAGAAAATTAAAGTTCTATAAAGAATTGTTTGCTTTGATTTGTACTTTAAATGTACTAGTGTAGGACTAATATATAAGACAACTAATTGTGCAGTTTTGAGACATTCATCTGCAGAACCACAGCATTCTAAATAAGACCATATAGCGTAAATTGTTGTTTCATACCAGGAGGTCTGTTTGAGATGTACGTGTATTTTTTTTATATGTGTGAATTGTTTGTGTTTGAATATTTGCCTTATTTTATCAGGACCCTTTTCCAGAATTCTTCAGGCCAGAAGAATGATGTCTTTCACTTGGACATTAAAAATGTAGGTGGGATAGGCCAGATCTTGGACTTCATGTACACCTCTCACCTGGATCTTAGCCAGGACAACGTACAAGCTATGTTGGATATTGCACAGTGTCTCCAAGTGCAAAATGTGCTGAACATTTGCCACACCTTTTTAAAATCTTCTACAGCTGTAGAGCAAACAGCCAGCATGCCTTGTAATAGTGTATTTTCGCTGCAGAATACTATCACTGCAGATACTAGCTGTGCCAATGACAGTTATGGGACAAACCTGTTGCATGAATGCTCATCTGACACACAAAGTAATAAAGTCTTGGCTGACCACCATTCTCCTGCATCGCAGTCTGTCAATCTTCATGCACCCTCAGGTGATGTACAGAAACAACCACAGGACTCCTTAGATGGCAACTGCACAGAACTTCCATTTAAACAACCAAATTACTATTACAAACTACGCAACTTTTACAGTAAACAGTTCTATAAGCAAAATGCTTGCTCTAATCATGAGAGAGGAGCAGAACAATCCTTTTCTTACAACGCGTCTACAGAAATAAACACAGAGAATAATTCTTGTACTGTCAATCACTCTGAGTGTATTCTGGAAACCTCTGATCATTTACCATCAAACTTTCTGGTTCAATCCTTGAATGAAGCTGCTCCAGACCAAGATGCAGAAAGCATGCTTATGCAGCCCACCAAACAGATGCGGCTGAAAAAGGCAATACACCTCAAAAAGTTAAATTTTCTAAGATCGCAGAAATCTGCAGAGCAGCCGCCTGAGCCTAAAAGAGATGACAGTAGAATAACGGCAGTAATTGAATCTGTAAATGAAAGTACCATGGACATGACAAATGTTAGAGTTACTGAAGAAAAAGAAGCTGAAGATTTAGTGAATTCTGAGAATTTTGAACAAACTGTTGAAATTGAAAGATCTCAGGGCCCTTTGGAACAAGAGGGGCAATCACAGACTCTTCAGTCGCAGAGGCAATATACGTGTGAATTATGTGGGAAGGCTTTCAAACATCCAAGCAATTTGGAGCTCCATAAAAGGTCTCATACAGGTACAGTTATCAATAACTTGGTCTGCAAACGAAATATTTCAATTAAAGAGGATGTCTTGTGGTATCTCTTGAGAGATGCTGGTTAAGGATCTACTTTCAAAAGGTTGTGGGTTTTTTGTTTTGGGTTTTTTTTTAATTAATAATCATACAGGAATAAAGATGCTTAAAACTGAGTTTAGCCAAGAGTTTTAGATGTATTAAAGATTTCTTCTTTATATTTTTTTAGGGTTCTTTTTCAGGGAACATTGTGTGATATTTCAATGAAAATTTTATCTTGCATTTAGAAAAGGCATTTCTAGTCAGTTTGTCAGATGGCCCAGAAGTCTGTCAGATAACAATCAAAAGTGTAAATGGATAGACGATGATACCACAAATGTTCTAGATGACCTCAGTTCTCTCTGAACATGTATTTGTTGTAAGATACAAGTGATAAGGGCTATGTGGTAATTTCTTTTTAACCTGTAGAAATATGCTCCATAATTAATTTATGCTTTTTCCCTAGTGTGAACAACTCTCATTGCGTTTGCCTAGAGAGCAATGCTCTTGCAGACAAGTAGAGGCAGAGTGAATGACAATTTTGAATTACTTTGTTTTAAAAACTCTCAGGTAATATTATTTTTAAACCTAGCATAGATTTATATCGAAGTATCTTTTTATTCTAGTGAAAAACAAGGCTCTATCTAACTTTTAATTAGATAATTTGTCTGTTCAATTTAACCAGCATGTTCTATTATATTTCTACAACTTTAGATATGTTTTTTTAAAAGGGTTTTTAAGAATTACCTTAGCTAGTCAAGTAATACAATTGATTACAAGTCCTTGAGATGGCATTATTCCTGATTAAGCTGTTGAATATTTTTTGCCGTTCTTTTTCCCTGTATTAAATATACAAGTGCGTCTCTTAATCTTGTCAAATAAACATCACTTTGCAAATGAACATACATATATCAGTACTTTGACAGTAAATATGAATACCTCTTAGCAGACATTAATTTTTTTTTAATTGATCCTTAGTATTAAGAACTTATTTTTCCACGTTATTATTAAAAAAGTCTTACCAGAACCTGAAAATACAAACATTTTGCATTAGCTTCCGGAAGTTTTCAATTGGTACTACTTTTGTATGTTCACATTGTTAATACTGGGGTTTTTAAAATTTGGTCTCCTGTGAAAGAGTTGCGTATGTCTCTTACTTAGATCTTTTCTTTGCCTTGTATTTTTTTGCATCTATTATCTGATTTGAGCTGACATCATCAGGTATATTTTAGTATCTTGGAAATTTCGGGAAAATAGGTGATCAGATAGAAGATAGAGCACCTAGAGAAGTCTCAGCTGAGGGAGAGACTCTGAAGTCAGTAATGTGTGTTTGTGCTAGAGAATCTATGTGAAAGAGAGAGCCCAATTATGAGAAACCTGATAGAATTTGCCCTTTCTTAGGCATCTTAATCATTGGAAGGAATCTGGATTTTGTGAATTCTGGCGCCCTGAAAACGACTTGTTTTTTTAAGAGCGTGTTGCCTGAGTGATAGAGTCAATTACTATATGTTTCTGAGTCTGCTAAACCATTTAAAACCTGAGGTTCAAAGTTTAGTTTACCTCTTCTAATGTATTGTAACTTAAAGGTCAGGGGAGTGTACTAGGTACTAAGATTTATAGAAGAGACTATAGCCCCTGATACAAGTGTTTTACAAATATTTTTTTTCTTTAGACACAGCATAGCCAGCAAATGCTTACAAGCATAGGAAATGGGAAGAGAGTAGTTTTGCAAGGTTATTTATGTATGTTGCAATTCATTTCTTTGTTCTTATTTGAGGTCTGTGTATTTACACGTTTCCGTTCCGCTTAAGCTCTGGTAGATGTTGCTCCACATTCCACAGCACTGCCTGAAGTGATCCTAGACTTGGTTTAGTTGTTGCTGTCCTTCTCTACTAGTCTGAGTATAGGCTGGATTCAGGAATTCCATGCTGCTTTTCATACACTGTGTTCTTCCAATAGTTTTTAAAAAAATCCAGACTTGAATGCTACTTATCGTGGCATTAACATTTTTCTACAGATGTGCTAAACTGAGAAAGTTTAAGAGCATAAGTTTAACAAATAATAAGCACATCAAAGAAGGATGGACAAACTGAGGCAAGAATATGACTAGATATGCCTGGTTTTGCCTGTTATTTTTGGGTCATGCTAATTTGGATTTACATATACAACTAGTGCAAAAAGAGTACTTGGAAATTGCAGTGGATAGGAAGGATCTGTAGCTGAAGGTACAGGGCACATTGTATCATTAATATTAGGTATACTGGTAGTTAAGTAATGTAAGTGTGTGCTAAAAGCCATTTCCATTCATTTGCCACTTCAGAAAGCATAGCAAATTGCTAGCTAATAAATTTTATTTAAAAACATTGATTTTTTTAGAGCTGAGCAAAAGGGTTAGCAAGCATTTAAGTATTACAGTGCTGAAGAAATGGAGGAAGCAAGTTACTAAAATGGACCTTTCACAATGGCAAACCAGTTTTTAACCCACAAATGACAACTCTTCAACATAAGTGCTGTGGTGCCCTGCTTGTTGAGAAGAGGCACAAGTGAAATGCTCTGTCCCTGAATACTAGGAACTGCTAAAAAATTTACAGATTAACATGGTTACAATGATGTTGTTTATGTGAAGGACAGGCATACTGTGTTCAACGCCAGTCATTGTATTGGGCTATCTATCTGTTTTAATTGTATTGCTAGTGGATATTTAAAGGAATCTCTAAATAGAGCTTATTGCATTGATTTGAAGATTGATTTTTGACTTGACTGAATGTTACAATTTGTTTTTTGTTAGATTGACCTGTCTGGGGGGGAAAAAAAAAAAAGGATGCAAATGTATCTCTCTTACACAGTACTTACCTATCCAGGAACATCCAGTGTTTTGTTTTTTTAAAACATTTTCAGGAAACATCTCAAAAAACCCGAAAACCCAACCCAGTGGAAAGAACTCTTGGCAGGATGGAAAACAACAGGAGCAAAGTTACACCCTCATGTAATACAATGTTGATCCTCAATCTTTTTATTCTGAGCTTGTTGCCAACATTCCATGCCTTAGTGGGTCTTGCTCTTCACCTTTGTGATCTCTTCAGGAACACCACTTCTGCTTTCATGCCTTTCTCCTCTGGAGCTGACACATCACTGCTTTGATCCCATTACTATATACTTTATCTTCATCTCTTCTTGCAGAGTGTTGAACAAGAAGGATGCAACAGAAAACACCAGCCTGTCCAAGGGTTCAAAAGTAAAAAGTCCCCTGGATGTTTGTTTAAGCATTGTCTTAATTGTAGTTAAGTTACTGCTTTTCCCCAAATTTTCTCTATTGCTGTTGATCCAGCTCTGGTCTTTGAGAAAATTAGTGTTCTTGGATAAGGTTTTTGGTTTGGAATTTAATGACAGTAATAGAAATATAGAATAATTTAGATTAGAATGGACCTGTGAAGGAAATCTAATCCAAGCCTCTGCTCAAGGCAGGTCACATTAGATTAGATTGTTTTACTCATGACCTTGTGTAGTCAAATTTTGGGTATCTCCAAGGACAGAGATTCCACGACCTCTCCAGGCAACCAGTTCCAGTGTTTGACCACCCTCATGGGGTAAAAGATTCTTTTCTTATTTCTAATCAGAATTTCTCATGATCTAGCTTGTGTCTGTTACCTCTTGTCCTATCACTGTGTACCTTCAAGAACAACCTGGTTGCATCTGTCTTCCCACTGCATGTAGACAGCAGTAAGATCTCCTGTTTGCATTCTTTTCTTAAGGTTCCAGATAGGGTCTCACTAGTGATAGGTAGAGAAGAATCATCTTCAGCTTGCTAGCTGTGCTCTTACTAATACGCTCTAGGAGGCAATTAGCCCCACTTTGCTGAGGGATGCTACAACACTGAGTAATTTAATATTTCTGTTCAGAATTCATTCTTGGAATAAGCTACGTGATATGCCCAGTGATTTGGAGTTTTATGCAGGTGCAGAGTTGTTCTCCAAAAAAATAATTTTGTATTTCTTTTCTAACAAAACATTTTTGTTTTATCTTTATCATGGGGGGAAAAAATGCAACTCTCTGTACATCAGCACAGTTATAATGAGGCTGCATGCAGCCTACAACAATAGTTTTGAGAAATTTGAGCCTCCAGTTCCCTCTCTCCCCTGCTAGTTATTTCAGGGTGGATTTCTGTTCAGATAATAGTCTTTCTGTCAACAGTAACTTTTTTTCTGTAGGTAATTTCTGCAGAAATCGCTACTAGTGTTTTTTATCCTCCATTTCAAATTACCTTGATGTTTTTTCGGTTGTCAGAAGCCTTCCAAGTTGCCATAGATCTGGCTCCCTGTTGGTTTCATTTATATTTCTGTTGTCAGTACCAGAATTTTTAGTGTTTTGCAAATTTAGAGCCATAATGAAATCAAGCCTCAGTGTTCTTTATAGTTGAGTTATTGGTTTCTCTTTATCTTTAATTGAATAAAAGCTTTATTGAATCTGATGTAAGATTTCCATTCTTCATTAAGTAGAAAAATTAGATATAGCCTTAAGTTGTCAGACTAACTGCAAGATTGCTGTCTGTGAAGCCACATAACTGTGTATATTTACTCTGTGCTTTAAAATCTAAGAGAATTGCATTTAGTCCTTGATCCTGAAATATGCTGAAAGAACATCACCTGTATTTGGCAGCAGGAAAGGGAAATGGAACCTCTACACCTGGATATTGTAGATGTTGCTCATAACAGTTCCAGAGATGGAGGAAGAATACTGATATAGAGACTACCTGCTGGAAGAGATGGCTATAAATAGCCAAGAAGTGTTCTGTAATATCCGGAAAATTCCAATTAAAGAACTAAATAAAATTCTTTAGGCAGATTTTGAATCAGCACCCAGATGAAACACAGTGTAAGATGTCTTTTTCTTTCTGGAAATATCTGCATTCAAAATCACAAGGATTTACACTAATTTTGCTTCCCTGTGTCCATGGGCCAGATTATATATGTCCTTTTAATGTACAGTTAGACTCATGAAAATATGATTAGAAGCCTGACTGTCATTGAATTCAATGGTATTTGAGCATTATTATTGTTTTTAAATTTCTAGAAGATGCACAGAGATTTTTATTAACAGTGTGAAAACTATGTAACCAAGAAGCAAGCAGGGAAAAAAAAGTACCTTTATGAAAAACTGTGGAGAAGAAAAAGTGATTAAAAAAAGATATTTGTCTCAAATTGACAGAGAATTGAAGTATTGTGCAGTCACATTCTAGGTTGAGAGTCAAGTTATTTTGAAAAGCTACAGTGGGCTGCACTTGTTTTTTACTAAAGCTGCTCATAAGTGTTTGGAGATTCAGGAATACCAGTTTTATATTTATAAATTCAGAATGTTGGAGCAAAATGCTTGGGTTAATTATCAGATACTCTTATATAGGATGAGAACTTGAAGGCAAATATTTATTTGCTGGAAGTGAATAGCTACATGCTGATCAGAGATGTATGGTACACATTGAACAGAAAAAACACAGTCCTTCCAAATTAGCTTCTCTGCATTCCTTATTCTTTTTAAGAGTGGGCCTTTGTGTGTTCAAGTGGAAAAACTGGTACATTTCCCAAAGCTGCTGCTGTTGTTGTAGGACCTTGTCATCTATTCTGTTCTTCCTGGAGGTATAGTACCCCTGTCATTTGGAAAAAAAGTATTTTTAAAAAAATTACAAAACACTCCCATTCATATTCAAACTCTTCTACCTACTTGTTTTGAAAGATAAATTCTGTTTCTGAGCAAGTCTGTCTTACAAGCTTAATGGTAAATGCTGTACTTCCCTCTTGAATTCACCCTTTATATATAGGTAAGTGTCCTTTTGGGGATATTTTTACTCTTACATTACATGTTTTAAAAGGAAGCATACCAATTTAAAACGTATTTTATTGCAACTATTAGAAGTTCTATGTTCTGTTTCTTCTCCTTTTAGGTGAGAAACCTTTTGAATGTAACATTTGTGGGAAACACTTCTCACAGGTGGGAATATTTTATATTATGGTACTTACACTTGAAAATCAAATGCATCTATGTGTTGATTCTAAAAATAAACTTGGTTTTAAGTCTATAGATTAGATATTTTTGTTCAAAGACACACTTGACTTTACAGATAAAATATTAAAATATCTTATTTGAAAATAACATGTTAAATGGTTTAGATTTCTTTGATATGTTTTGTACCTTTGATTCTGTCTGCTCTCAGTAGATGTGTTATGTATTTTATGTTCAAATGAATGTTTAACTGTACAGAGCCACAACTGTATCTGAAATACAGAGAACATTCATTCTCAGATTGTGCTTTTGCTTTATGCTTAGGGATATGTTGTGAATAGCATTCTTACAGTGTCTGAGAAAAATACGGGTTAGCAGTTTATATAATGTTGTATTCACAATCCAGTTTCATCTTCCTAAATGGCGTAAATTATTAAGCAGATTTTTTGGAGTCAGTTTCCTTCTATGAAGAAAAACAGCACGGGCTGTCAGAAGTGACCAAACTCAGATATGATTTTAAAAAAACCCCAACACTCTTGTGAAATTCCATACTCACAAGACCTAAGCTTTAACTGTCTTAATTTGCATTCTAGTGCTTGCTTACTGTTCTGGGTACAACAATTCATTTGTATTTCTACAAATGTGGTGCCTAGTTGTCTCATGTTTCCAAAATGTCTATTTCTTTTCTGTTGTCTTGGTTGGAATGTGTGCACCTAAGTACAAGAGACAATAGGTGCATAATTTTGTACTAAGATTAAATAATAATTATCATTGAATAACTTTGGTCTTTGTTATGGTTTCAGGATTAGAATTATGTGTGTTTTGTCTACCCACCCACCAGTGCTTGAGCTTCTCTTGCTCCAGTTTTGTAGTCTACCAGTGAGACTTCTTTGACCCATGAATCTGATTTAGTTGCATTCTCCACTCAGTTACTAAATATAACACTACATCCAGTGAACAATACAGTTTCATCAAGCTATTTGAGCAAATCTGGGCCTGCTTATTAGGCAAAGAAAGTGCATTTCCATTCATTTTGATGGCCAAACTTCTGATTATTAAAAGAAAAAGGCAGATATTTCCAAATTCCATTGAAAGTACTTTTGGCAAATAGAGTGGTATTCTGTATCATTACTGTGGGGGAAGCGGGATAAAGCTTCACACGCTCGGAGTGTATGACAGGCATGACAGACTCCTCATGCAACATGCATTGCTCCTCTTTAATAAAAACAAACTAACAAAACCCCCAACAAAGCTGGAAAATTCTGCTTTTTAATTAAACACTCTTTAACAGCTTCTCTCCCCATTACCTCATGTGCCTGAAGGTAGATGGACAATACCAACACATCCAGAATATGAGCAATAGCATTCAGCTTGTGTGTTGCAGTCCTTTGGTCATGAAAGGGAACTTGCATACTTCTGAGGTACTTGGTTTTGAATTGTGCAAATAAGTAAGACTCCACCTACCAGAAAGTCAGATGCAAAGATAATTACTATCTACTTTTTGCTTAGACCATCTCTGATCTTGTTCTTGATCTTGTCAGTCTCCAGGCACAGCCATAGTTAACGCTTTTCTTATTTAAGCCTTCATGTTCTGCACTTCTGAGACAGTGCAGTAGTTGTGCCTGGTAGAATAT